GGTCTGGCAAGCGCCCGCACCCTATAGCGAAAACCTCCCCAAAACAACAACAACAACAGCAACAAAAAAAAACAAAAAAAGAAAAGAAAGAAGGAAAGAAATGGGTCAGAACCGAGGTCTGGGCCCAGAAGCCGCCGTGCCCTGGAGTGACGGGCGGGGTTGGGAGGGTGGCAGGGAGAGTGTACAAGGCTCCCCTCCCCCAGCCCCCTGGGGGGCAGCGCTGCTCCCTCCCATCCGCCTGCCTGTCTCCAGCTTACCCCGAGGGTCCCCTGGAGGGGAAAGAGGGGACTCAGGCGTCCCTGGTCCCCAATCTGTGGCGCCAGCCAGCTGGATTCTAATGAGCTTCCTGAGCACCAGAGACAGGAAGCTGGAGGTTGGGGGGGCCTGGGTTGCTGCCCAAGATGGGGAGGCTGTGAAGCAGGCAGGCATGCCTGGGTCCCCCCCGCCAGGGAGGCCTCCGGTGCCCTCCTCCTCCTCGCTGGGCCAGCACAGGCAGGAGCAGCGTTTAGAGATGGAGAAGGGACCTCCGGAGGGGCCGAGCCTTCCCTGGGGGGCTGTTGGTGGCCGTGACAGCTGCTGAGAGGGCCTTCCAGGAGGAGGTGTCCGCCGGAGTAGGAAGAAGAGAGCCACAGGCCTCAGAAGGGCTGCAGCTTCAGGCAGATGCAGCTGCCCCCTGGGAGGGACCAGGAGGAGAGGGGACACCCAGGTGCCCATGAGCCCCCCTCACTCTGCCCGTCCTCCCGCAGGCTGGTGGGCCAGGCCGTGGTGTCCTCCTGGTGATGCGGGGCGAGGCCCCTCGCACAGGCAACTGAGAGCCCCCGACGCGCCCCTGGCCGCCGCCATGGCCCGCCTGGCCGCCGTGCTCTGGAGTCTCTGTGTCACTGCCGTCCTGGTCACTTCGGCCACCCAAGGTAGGTGCTTCCCGGGGCCAGGTGTCGGGAGGGTGGCTAGAAAAATCCCTCCTGAGTTGGGAAAGAACCTCCTAGCCCTGACCGCGGCTGGACAAGGTCGGAGGGAGACTTGGTGGCTACGTGCCCCCCCGGGGACCAGGGAGTGGTCCCCAGAGCAGTCTCGAGGGCACCCTGGGACCAGGACAGGCCTTCCTGGTGTCTCGTGCTTTCCCCCCTGTCTCTCTCTCTCTCTCTCTCTCTCTGTGTGTGATTACATCTCCGAGGCTCTCACTGGGAAGAAGGCTTAATTAAAGCAGCCTGCTGACGTTTATTTAAAAACAACTAATTACCCGGTTCGGCCCTGTGCCGGCCCCGGGATCCTGCACACGCCACAGTCAGCGCCCCAAGCCTGCCCGCCCACCCTCACCAATTACTCAATTAGGCGCCCCTGGCGGGCCCAGGCAGGGGACAGCGACAGGACGGAGAGAGAGGCTGGCTGGCCCCGTGCCCCACCCTGCCGATCCTGCCCCCACCCCCCTCAGTGGCCTGCCCTGCAGACAGGCACAGAGAACGGGGCATGGCATGGCTGGGCCCCAGGGTCTTGGCATGGCTCCGGCCAGCATCCTCAGCTGCCCCGCTGCCCGCGGACACTGCCCATCCGGGTCCTGCCACGCTGCCCCAGCTGGGCCGGGAGGGGCGGTCTCCACCCCCAGACCCATCTGAGCTAGCAGCCTCCACCCCCGGCCCTCCCTCCCAGGCCCGGGAAGAGCTAAAATTAGATGAGGAAGCAGATGGTGCTAGAAGAACACATGTAAAACTTTCCCCCAACTGGGACTCGACTCACCCCAAAAAACCCCAGGGGCCTAGCTGCCGTACCCCTTGGCACCCAGCCGGCGTTGGAGGGACCAGATCTCTGAGAAGGGGCCGGCTTGGCTGTCACCACGCACGGATGCCCATACTGCGGGCTGTCACTCACCACCTCTGCAAGTGACAGTCCCCACGTCGGAGTCTCTGGGCCACTCTGCATCCCCACGTCTCTCCAGCCCCCTGCAAGGCCGGGCGCGGACCACTCTGCCAGCGCGGACCATGCTAAAGTCCCTCTGTTCTGCAGAGACCAATGGTCTCTCATATTCACATCCCTCGCTGCACATGGCGGCCCCTCAGATCTGTCACAACAGCCCCGTGAGATGGGAAAGGCCACTGCCCCTCGGGAGAGGGACACAGAGGGTCCGTGACTTGGACGAGACCACCAGCCAGGGAATGGCAGGGCTGGGATTTCTCCCCTGGTCATCTAGCCCCTTAGTCAGCTCTCGGTTCCACCTGGCACAAGGCATGCACCGGGGTGGAACGAGGCCACCCTGCCAGAACTGGGCCTGCTCAGGGTGTGCTATTTCACCATGAGGGGGACTCTGGGAGGTTTCCCAGATAATAACCAGGAGGTTCCTCGCGGAAGCACCCTCCCCTGTGTGCAGAACCGCATCCAGCACTTTCTTCAAGAGCATTTTCCGGGCATCAGGAGATGTCATAATAGTTATATTTCTGGACTTCCATGTAGTCAACCATAGTTCGAGTCCCGGACCCAGCCTGTTAAAATTCACACCAGGTGCACGTGTGTGCATGCCCGAAAGGAGAAAGGAGGAGAAGGGATTGTAGCATGGCCATCCCCCTGGGGGCCATTTCTTGCATTCGTTCTCGTTGTGTCTCTCTGGTGAGCGCATGTGCCCTATAGCAAAAATCTCTTTAAAAAAATAATAAAAAGCGGGACCAGCAGTTAGCGTAATGGCTATGTCACTGGACTCCCACGTAGTCGACCGCGGTTCGTATCCCGGACCCGGTGGCTTAAAACTCACGCCGGGCGCGTGTGCGTGCATGCCCAAGATCCCGAGAGGAGAATGGAGGAGAAAGGATTGGGGCATGGCCATCCCCCCTGGGGGGGTGATTTCTCGCTTTCTGTCTCTATATCTCTCTCTGTCTGGCAAGCGCACGCGCCCTACAGTGAAAATCTCTCCAAAAAAAAAAAAGATCCCGCTAAGAGAATGGAGGAGAAAGGATTGGGGCATGGCCATCCCCCCTGGGGGGGTGATTTCTCGCTTTCTGTCTCTATATCTCTCTCTGTCTGGCAAGCGCACGCGCCCTACAGTGAAAATCTCTCCAAAAAAAAAAAAGATCCCGCTAAGAGAATGGAGGAGAAAGGATTGGGGCATGGCCATCCCCCCCGGGGGGGGATTTCTCTCTGTCTCTCTGTCTCTCTCTGTCTGTCTGGCGAGCACACGCGCCCTATAGCAAAAACCTCTAAAAAAAAAAATAATAAAAAGCATTTTTCAAGGCGCGGTCTCTCTACAGGATGACCTTGGGCTGCGGGTGCCCATTTTTCAGACTGGGAATCTGAAGCCTGGGGAGGTGATGGCAGCGGTTCAAGCCCAAACTTGAGCAGTATTAGAGTCACCTGGTGGATAAGTCGCCCTGAGATTCTG